GGCTGGATCCCATCCTGGGTCTGCTCCCAAAATCTAGTCAGGCGGAAGGATCCCAGAACACAGTTGATATTTTGTAACTGGTCGTGCTGTTGACTAGTCAATTCAAATGATGGCAGAATGATCCAGCCAAGATTAGAATTTGGCCCATCGAGTGTACAGTCAATAACCGGTCTATAACCCTCCCCACCCCCCCAGATATTTATAAAACTGATTAGGACACTTACCCGGAGTAGGGTATTGAAAATGAGGGGCGCTGATGGAGCTACACAGCGTAGGGTCAGGTAGGTCTAGTGCAAATGTCTTTTCTTTTTTACATACCCGAGAGTCACAACCACAGAGCATAATTAGTTCTCTTCTGTAATCTATCTGATCATTAGTGAAAGAGAAGCCTTTAAGGGGATCAGTTTTGGGGCGGAGAGAAAACACCTTATATCAGGGGTGTCAAACATGCAGCCCGGGGGCCAGATCAGGCCCACAGTGGAACTGGCCATCTCCTGCTTCCAGTTCTGCTGTTGCTGCTGCTGCATCACAGCTTGCTTCGCCAGACTCTCTTAATCACTCAGCCATTTCATGTTTTAACCTGGGTCCTAGACTCAGAACCCTGACCATGAGATTTCTGTGGTGAATGTCAATACATCAAAAGTAGGTTTGCAGCTTACAGACACACACCTGAACAGCATACTCAAGATTGCAACAGCACAGAAATTTTGATGCAACAATTCAGAGCAAGAGGTGTCAGTTATCAGATACTGTTAAATAAACAAAATATTGCAAGAGTGCTAATGCTTTAAGCATGTTTTTATTTTAAGTTAAAAAAAATCTTTGTGTTCGTGTACTTTATAAAGTTTATAACACACGTGGCCGAGCCCAACAAGGTCTCGTTTTTGTCAGATCCGGCCCTCATAACAAATGAGTTCGACACCCCTGCCTTAGATCACAAGACATTTGCACTAGACTGTCCTGCTGAGGATCATCTATCTGACCCTACGCTGTGTCGCTCCATTAGCGCCCCTCGTTTTGAATACCCTACTCTGGGTAAGTGTCCTCATCAGTATTATAAATATCTGGGGTGGGTGGGTGTTATAGTCAACATTCAATGAAGACAGTTAATCAAAAACTGGCCAGGGTCCGGCATACCTGAGGGACCGCCTTTCCCCATACAGGCCCCAAAGAGCACTTCGGTCGGGGTCACACTAGTGACCCCGGGTCTTAAAGAGGCCAGGCTTGCAGCCACAAGGGCCAGGTCCTTCTCGGTGGCGGCTCCTACCTGGTGGAATGAGCTCCCGGAGGAGATCAGGGCCCTGCGGGACCTCTTACAGTTCCGCAGGGCCTGCAAGATGGAGCTCTTCCACCAGGCTTTTGAGTAGGAGCCGCCGCCACCACCACCACCACCGAGTAACTGCAGAGCAGGACCGCCGGGTTGGGCCGACTGGCCATCTGGAACATCTTGGCCCATGGCATCCCCCCTCGTGATCCCACTGCGATATACAATAGGGAGTATTTTAGTTCCTAATGTATCCTGCAAGATGTTTTTGTTTTAATTGTTTTAACTTGTTCTATTTTTATTGCACTCGGTGCCTTAACTGTTTTAATCCTGTTGTATTTTATTGCACAGTTGTGCCTATGTAAGCCGCCCTGAGCCTGCTTGCGGGGAGGGCGGGGTATAAGTGAAATAAAATAAATAAATAAATAAAAAAGGTTAAGAGACTTCTGAAACGGAGCATCTTTTCTGTTCATTTCTAAAGTTGGTCTTCTCCCGAGAAGTTGCGTTATTTTCGCAATGGTTCTGATGAAGTAATGGCTCGGCGACTGCACTAGTTCGAAGATGGATCGGACTCCTACGATTCCTTGCAGCTACTGATAAACATTCAAACAAGCCAGGATTCTGTTTGATCGATATTTTGATGGCTTCGGTTTTGTTTTTTTGTTTTTTAAAAAAAAGGTTGTATTTGCTTCAGAAAGTAAATTGCAAAATCATCGATTGGCAATTACCCAGTTCTGCGGGGGAAATCAATGTGCGGAAAGAGATGTGCATGCGTACCAACTACTGGCATGCTCGTCTGGGCTCCAACAAACTGCAGAAGGTCCCAGGTTCAATCCCTGGCATCTCCAGTTCAAAGGACCAGGAAATAGGTGATGTGAAAGACCTCTACCTGAAACCCTGGAAAGGCGCTGCCAGTCTGAGTAGACAATACTGACCTTGATGGACCAATTGCCTGGTTCAGAAGGCAGCTTCAACTGGTACAATACATTCTTTGTGCATGGTGCTTATGCACAAGCTGTTGTTGAACATTAGAGGTTCCCAAAGGGATATCTTGAAATTTAATGTGCCCACATTACTTGGTATATGGTAACCGGCTGCCACAACGGCTTCCATCTTTGTGAAACCAAAACTGTTCGCTTCATGAAACGCTGGAAAGTCAATCCAGTGCTAAGCAAGTTAATGTCTCTGTGGTTGGCTTTTTCCGGAGATTACCTATTTATGTGATGTGCTTGGAATTAATGTACCACCCACCAGCCCCCGGTATACATTCCCTTTGTCCCTTTTCACCACATGAGGACTGTCTACTTACTGGTGATGGGTGGATTCCAATTGAATAGAAACGAATGCCTCATTCTTCAAGCCCTCACCCCACCTCCAATACTGCTATTTCTCCCAGCAACTTATTTGGAAATGGCATTTGATTTTAAAAAATAGCTATTTTACACATATTCTGCTGTTATACTAATGTTTCAGCAACAAAAGTACCATTCTATTATTCTGAGTTATGCCTTCTGTATTTATTTTTCATTAGCCCAAACTTTTCGTTACAAACTTCTGTTCCTCAAAGCCCAAAATACAATTAACAGAGAGGTCTGGTTTCCCAAACAAGCTGTTTTTATTTCTTGCTGCCTTTTCAAGCCTTAGTGTTTGGGCTCGTAGCCGATCCTCGCCGATTCGTGCCCATCTATCAGCAACATCCAATTTAGTTCTGATCCCATGTATAATCCCATTAAATTAGGACGGCTGGAATAAGCACACTCCAAATCAGAGGGGCTGAACAGCATTTGACTTCTTACCGGATTTGATCTAGAAACTGGTGCACCGATCGCTCTTTTTCAGTAGTTGGGAATTGGGAGCTACTCCAATGTTTCTTCACTGCGCAGGAGTTGTTAGTCAAACTGAAATGACTCACAAGATCCCCTGACTCCAAAAAAACAATTTATCTCTATGAATATCTATAACTGGAGGGGGGACTGTTGCAATGATGCAAGTGACAAAGAAAACATCAGTAATATACTGCATTAAACTACAATACCAGAATAAAGGCTTCTAACATTTCATCAATCTACAGGGAGGAGGAGGACGGAGTTTAAAAGAGAAAAACACACTCTGAAAACCTCTTCCACCAAGACACGTGGCCCTGCTTTTTTCTTCTCAAAATACCCCGGGGTTCGTAACTGGCCGAAGGGCACCCACTGAGTGGCAGAGCTGAGCACGAACGTTCGGGTAGCCCTCCTTGTACCAATCGTCTTCGCCCATCTTCCTTTTATTAAGATCTGCTCTTAAGCGGGTCAACGCCTTGGGATCAGCACAAGGCAACTGAAGGGGGGCATGACAGAGGTTTGTAAAATCATGCGTGGGGTGGAGAGCGCGGACAAACAGAAACTTCTCTCCCCCTCCCAAAGTACAAGGACCCGAGGGCATCCAAGGAAACGGATGGGCAGGAGGTTCAGGACGGGTAATAATCAGGGAGTGATTCAAACGTGGAATTGGCCACCAGAGGTGGTCGTGATGGCCACAGGGAGAAACAGCTTTAAAGGGGGACGAGAGTGTCAAACTCAGAGTTTTGTTTCCCATGATATTCTTTGTTCTCAGGTTCAGGGATGCTTTGGCCGACCCGAAGAGGGGGAGGGGAATGTGTCTGAGTGAATGTGTGGGAATGTGCTCTGCTAGACGCCTGTAACGTTTTTCTAAGGAGCCTTCCGAGAAATGTGTCCTTGAAGCCTTTACTGCCAGGAGCGCTGTCACAAACACAGTAGTGTGAACTCACAGGTGGTGGGGGGGATGGGCACGCAACGGGCTTGGCGGGACGAATGACCGGTATGATTGGATGGGGCAATGGGGGGCAGTTGGAAGTGGGTATGATATTGGAAGCTGACACCAATCGTCGTTAGTTCTGACACAAGTTGGCTTGTCCCTGTCGCGACTTCATATCTCAATAAACAAATCTTCTATCCGAAGACTTGTTGTTGAGAGTGAGTGCGTACAGGGGTCTGACAATGAGACAGATTCATAGAAGATAAGTCTCTCAATGGCGACAAGCCATGGTGACTGAAGGGAACCTCCACGTTCAGAGGCACTAAGCCTCTGAATCCCAGAGCGAAGAGGTGAAATCAGGGGAAGGCCTCGGCCTCTCTGCCCTGTTGCTGGCCGTCCAGAGGAACTGGCTGGCCCCTGCGTGAGACAGAAGGCTGGACTGGATGGACTATCAGTCTGACCCAGCAGGGCTCTTCTGGTGTTCTTATCAGGGGAAGGCCTCAGCCTGTCTGCCCTGTTGTTGGCCCTCCAGAGGAACTGGCTGGCTACTGTATGTGACAGGATGCTGGACTAGGTGGACCCTCCCTGGTCTGACCCAGCAGGGCTCTTCCTATCAAAAGGGAAGGCCTCGGTCTGTCTGCCCTGTTGCTGGCCGTCCAGAGGAACTGGTTGGCCCCTGCGTGAGACAGGAGGCTGTACTGGATGGACTATCAGTCTGATCCAGCAGGGCTCTTCTGATGTTCTTAAGTCTGGCAAGAGTTTTAAGGGCAAAGGTACCTGGGTGATGCACCACCTGCTGGCAACAAAGGAGGGGAAAAATCACCTGTTTCTGCCATCAGAAATCCCCATCAAGCACCAAGAACATGTAATATGAATTAAAAGAAGAGTTATGGCAAAATTATTTTATTTGTATTACCAAGATATAAATAAAGTACATCTGTGCTATTAAATATAGCTAAAGGTTTATGCTGGCGTTCCGCTAACAGGTTTTTGATCCATAGGCCAAACTTTTGTTGCACTGGAGGCAGTGAACGCCTTCGCGAGGGTTGTATGATCCTGGACTGCAAACCACTACAAACAAAACAAAATGAAATATTGAAATGACATGAACACTTTAGAACTTCAGTTACAACCTGCTTTCGTAACTTCATGGGAAAGTGTCTTTTGTTAAAGTACGGGGGGGTGGAAAGACCTATCGCGTTGCAGCAGACTCGCGGACTTATGGGGACCCCCCCCCCCATGGGGTGTTCAAGGCCAGGGATGAAGAAAGGTGGTTGGCCATTGCCTGCCTCCACATCACGATCCCGGGTTTCCTCGGAGGTCTCCCATCCAAATGTTCACCAGGGCCGACCCTGCTTAGCTTCCGAGGTCTGAAGAGATCAGGCCAGCCTGGGCCAGCCAGGTCAGGGCTCAGGTATGTGGCACGTTCCGGTAAAAGGTCTCAGGTGGCACAGCTGGAGAAGACCCCTGCCTGAGACTCGGGAGAGCTGCCCTCAAGTCACAGCAGAGAAGCTAGCAGCCCGATAAGAACTGGACTGATTCAGCACGTGCCACTTTCTTCTCTAAACTTGCTCTTTGTCAAACAATCTGAATTCCTACAGGGACTTACCCCGTGGAAAGACACACACACCCCGCCAGTGTTCCCTCTAAGCTGAGTGAGTGTGAGCTAGGTCACAGTTTTTTAGCCTCCGGCTCACACATTTTTGCCTTAGCTCAGGGAGGAGGGCTCCAGAGCAAACTAATTTATGCAGTGGCCAAATGGCTCGCTCACAACTTTAATGCCAGTAGCTCACAGAGTAGAATTTTTGCTCACAGGACTCCATAGCTTAGAGGAAACATTGCACCCCGCCCCCCAATGACCAATCATTTCTGGGGCCCAGTCTGGAGAACCTGCCAGTTCCCGTGTTCCCGCTTTCCTCTTCCTCCTACGCACAGCTTGGGAACTTCCGTTTTCGCGGCCCGCCAAAAGCCTGACGCTTCATCCCAATCACAAACTAGGCTATTCTTTCCAAACCTGTGGGAAGCCAATAAAAGGGGGAGGGAGTAAGGGGGAAAGGATATAGAATGAAATTGACATATGTGAAATGTGTGTTATCCTAATAAAAATTTGTTTTTTTTAAAAAAAGAAAGAACGGGACTGATTCAGCACGTGCCACTTTCTTCTCTAAACGTGCTCTTTGTCAAACAATCTGATTTCCTACGGGGACTTACACCATGGAGAGACACACACACACCCCGCCCCCAATGACCAGTCATTTCTGGGGCCCAGTCTGGAGAACCTGCCAGTTCCCGCGTTCCCGCTTTCCTCTTCCTCCTACGCACATTTGGGAACTTCCATTCTCGCAGCCGACCAAAAGCCTGACGCTTCACCCCAATCACAAACTAGGCTATTCTTTGGGGGGGGAGGGAGGGAGGCAAAGCACAGTTTGTGCTTTGGACAGAATGATAAGCCACGGCCTGACGCGGAAGCCAAAATCTTTTAATTTTTGAGCCATGTGTGAGGGAGGGAGGGAGGTGATGGGGAAAGGAGCTTCTGCCTGGACCAAAAAATCAGGGTGCGCCCTCGTATAGGAGCCATGACACTCCTGGTAGGGAAACCTCTGCTGCAGAGGGGAAAGGAAGACCCTGTCCAGCAGTGGGGGAAAGCAGCCAAAAGTGTCGCCCCTGAGGAATCCTGTACTCTCAAGCCTGTGCACAGCACAGTTTGTGCTTTGGACAGCATGATAAGCCACGGCCTGACGCGGAAGCCAAAATCTTTTAATTTTTGAGCCATGTGTGAGGGAGGGAGGGAGGGGGTGGGGAAAGGAGCCAGGGGGTTCCCAGGGCTTCTGCCTGGACCAAAAAATCAGGGTGCGCCCTCATATAGGAGCCGTGACACTCCTGGTAGGAAAACCTCTGCTGCAGAGGGGAAAGGAAGACCTTGTCCAGCAGTGGGGGAAAGCAGCCGAAAGTGTCGCCCCTGAGGAATCCTGTGCTCTCAAGCTTGTGCACGAATGATAAGCCACGGCCTGACGCGGAAGCCAAAATCTTTTAATTTTTGAGCCATGTGTGAGGGAGGGAGGGAGGTGGTGGGGAAAGGAGCCAGGGGGTTCCCAGGGCTTCTGCCTGGACCAAAAAATCAGGGTGCGCCCTCATATAGGAGCCGTGACACTCCTGGTAGGAAAACCTCTGCTGCAGAGGGGAAAGGAAGACCCTGTCCAGCAGTGGGGGAAAGCAGCCAAAAGTGTCGCCCCTGAGGAATCCTGTACTCTCAAGCCTGTGCACAAAGTGCTGCTCATTCCAGCTCTGTGTTCTCTTCATAGGTTTCTGGAGTGGGGCAGTGCATATAAAGCACAGCCAAGACCCCTGGCATAACGTTCCTCACCCCCAGAAAAGCATTTGGCATGATAACCTTTTTTGTTTACTGGCCCCTTACCCGGAAGAGGGAGCTACAGACCACCGGCATCTTAAACAAGTCTCACACCACAAATGAAAGCAGTACCTGGTCACAACAAGCCCCATATCCAGTGGGGTTTACTTCTCTTTAGGTGTTTAGGGAAAAAAGATGCTCATACTTGTACGGAAGGGTTTTAGCTCCACCTAGTGATCAAAAGTACTAGCAAGCCAGGCAGTTCCACAGACTTTTATGGTCATCAGCACTCAAGGAACTGAAACCGTAGGAAAAAGTTCTTAGAATCTCACCGGAGATCCCTAGCCTGACCTCAATGGCCAAATCGGATATGCCAGTGGCAGAGTTAATCCGGGGGGGGGGGGGGGGTACACATCTTTTGTTCCGTGCGT